GCACCAATGTCCAAGTCTTCTGAGTCAATAGGTGTAGACTGATGGCTCGGTGAAGACTCCTTGAAATCCGAAAAAAAAGACAGCGAATTATCAACGGCGTTTTTATTGGATGCTGGTGAGCGCTCAGGAGAGTTCAATGATACTACTCCTGGGCCAAGCGCATCAGAAGTTGAGATGGGAGGGAGCTGTGGTCGTTGGTACCATGATGGTAATGGAATTAGCGAGAATGAATCAGGTGTGTTGCTAGGACCACAGTCCGAAGTTAAAAGTGGTGATGATTCGACTGATTCCACGCAGGGGGGCTGGTCAACCACCATATCATCTGTCACATCTACAACACCACCATCATCCGTAGTGCAAGGATTGATCTCAACTATTTCTCCGTCTTCAGGGTCTGTGTGAGTGTCGTCGTCACCTGTAGCCGGTTTTAGTTGCATCGATTGAATATCAAAGTGTTCCAATGCGGCAGATGCAAAGTCCTGCCCTACATCCGCAGTAGAGAAGGCATAGTTGAAGGCTGGGTTGGTCCGCCACCAGCCATGAAGCTCAGGCCACCAGGGAAATTTTTCGAGCTTTGTATCTGATGGAAACACGGTTAAGACATGTGCAGATCAACACAGCTAAAACGGACTGATCAACGACTTCATCTTTGGATCCTCTTGGAGCTCTGCATACGTCTTTCCTGCTCCTGACTGCTTGAGGTCCTTGTTGAACTCGTTGTATTTTCTTCGAAGTCTGAAACATCTTATCAGTGATTCCAGTGGGAAGATGAATGACGCAGGAACTAGATACTTACATGCCGAAACGAGTTGAAACTGGTTTGATAAAGGCCTTAGGGTCCTCTTTGAAGAGTCGTTGAACCTCCAGATCCTCATCATTCGAAAATACTGCGTGTGCGACCTGTGAATAGACAACATCTCTCGAACTACCACTCTGCTTCTTCTTCCGACCTTGCTCCTTGGCATCCTTTGCCGAATCAGAGAAAAGCTTGATTCGTGCATTGTCATTTTCCTTGCACCAGGCAAGTAGCCGTTCAGTACGAGCACCACGGACCCCCTCCCAGTGAATGGTACACTTCTTCCCAGTGTCCGTACTGGCAGGTGCATTGGCCCGGACACCTCCACCCCAGCCTCTCTGATTTGAGCGTGACATGATCTAGGGTGTGCTTAATGACAGTGATTAGATATTGGATTAAGGCTTTAGCAGCGTCAACGCCGGTAACAACGATGTTGAGCACACTGGCTGGCAGGGCAGGTCGGAGTTCGAAACCTGCCGTACCGGCAGCATCCGAATTCGCAAAATTTCTCTGTGAATTTCTTAGAAGGTTCGACTTTGAGAACCGTTATTGACTTGGACTGACTGCTGAGTACTGAGTGCTGAAGTACCGCAAGTTACTAGCAAACATCCAATAACATCAGTGTTACTAATAAGAGCCCATCTGGACAATGAATAACAAAATTTCAAATTTCAACTGAGTCATGTCACATGGTCTGGGAGATCCCGGATCACACAGATTCTTTCACACAGGGCACCTTGCTTCCCTGCCATAACCGCCATGTCATCTAATGTATCAAGCCACAGTGATGGATCTAATCGCTCCCTTCGTTCTCGTGGTACTGTTGATCCAGTAGAATTGAAGAAGAACCAAAGCAAAAGAAAGCCTGCTGCCTCCTGGACGCTAGAAGAAGAAACTGTTTTCGTTGACTTCCTGTTATCTCAGTTCTCTGCAAGTGGCGATGGAAATCCCAAGGGTACAACACTCACCAGCGCTGCAAATCTACTGAAGGAGAGATTCCCAAACGCATCTGGTGCTGAGAAGACAGCTGGTGTTTGTAAGAACAAGTGGCAATCTGTATGTTATCAGTCCGATGATCGTGTTGCCGGTGATCAGGGAAAACTCAAAGAATGTATGTCTTGCAGCTCAAAACATCATATGGTGCTGTCGCAGATATCAAGAACACATCGGGATTTACATGGAGTGATGAGTATGGAGCTGGAATAGTGATGAAGAATGATGATGTCTGGGATCGGTACATCAAGGTATGTATTGTTGCCACTGCTGCAGCCAGCACTACTAATAACGCAATCACTCTCAGCGACGCCCTGCAGCGAAGGCCTTCAAAAATAAGGGCTTCAAACATACCTCTGCTATGGAGCAGATGACGCCAAAGATTGCAAAAGGATCGCATGTCTATCGACCACCTCCAGTGCCCAACGGCAATGACATCCCTCAGGCTACTCCTCCCTCCTTTAATCTCAGCCAGCTTACCTCTGCAACCGAAGAAGTCATGCAAGTGGGTGGCAGTGGGCTTCTCCGCACTCCTGGGCCATCGGCCACTTTCAGTGATCCCTCATCAACATCGCCCTCTACTCCATCTTGTTTCCTTACCTCTTCCGGTGGTGGCTCAGCCCCCTCGTCTGTGTTGACAAGTGTTAGCCGCAGTGCAAAGCGCAGAATCAGTTCCACACCCTCAATTATTGAATCAGAAGCAAGCGCTCGAAAACGTACACGCCGGCCACTATCTGTAACTGCCCAGGCACAAAAGGATGGGTCTGAGACGATGAAGGAGCTCGCTACTTACATCAAAGACTACCTCCAAACTCCCCCCCAGGTTACTTCATCTGACCCCCTCGCTCGTGCTGTTGTCTTGTTATCAGAACATAAGACTCTTACAGCTGATGATCAGCTCGAGATCGCAGACTACTTCGCTAGGGACAAGACACAGGCTGTAATTTTTTCTAATTTTCCAGAGACAACTCGAGCTGCCTGGTTGGAGAAAACTCTCCGCAAACTCAAGTCCAACCAAGACGACGATGTAGTAATGGTATAGAGCTTGAAGCGGCGGTTCCGCGGAGTGTAGTACGACAATACAAACTACTACTTATTTGTATTCAAGCTGTACCTGGCAATGGAAGTCCTCGTTCCCTGTGCTCATTGAGATAGTCAGCCCACATTTCCTCTGCAATTCTCTCCCGCCGCTGATCCGCTCTGCACCGTTCCGCTGTGTCAGCTGGTCCATCGCCGAGTTCACCCAATGCAACATCAAGGTTCATTCTGTCAGATTCGACGTCAAAGTCGTCAGGATGATACCTTTGATTGAAGTTGTGCAGTGCGCACAGCGCTACAGGGATCTGAGCCTGAATATCCATGTTATATTCAGGGACATGTCGCAAGATGCCCCATTGACGCTTCATAACGCCAAAAATGCGTTCAATCACATTGCGAAGTCCAGCATGACGAAGGTTGAATAGTTCCTTGGCATTCTGTGGCCTGTGTAGAATCCCAGTCAGACGCTAACTTAAAATAATAAAGGATTAGTACTACTTGATATTGGCCTGTCGCCACTCTTTCAAATGATAACGGACACTCCGGTATGGAACAAGGAGGACATCGGAGGTACCAAAACCAGCATCCGCAAGAAAGTATCGACCTTCAGGGATTCGTAGGTCATTTGAATGGGCGTCCGTCCACAGAGCAGCATCAGACATAGATCCGTCCCACCCACAGAGTGAATACAAGAAATGGAGGTCAAAATCGCAGATGAACAGACAATTTTGCGATCAAAAACCTTTGCGGTTTCGCATGTGAAAGTGTTCCTCTGGCAGTACAAAAGCCTGGATATGCGTGCCGTCTACGGCACCGATACACTGATCAAAGAACCGATATCGAGGATCATCGAGAATTTTATGGGAAATTGGGGTTGTGTGAGTCGGAAATGTGATCTGGGAGCTGTAAAATGGATTCAACGAGAAGAAGAAAAGCATGCGTTTGAAATATCTTGGAAAATAGATTAAGTCGCTTGAAAAATAATATCGAGACCACTATACCTTGTGACCGTGTCAGGGGAGCGCTGGAATCTCTCCCCAACAAGGCGGGATGATAATCCAGTGACACATGTATATAAAAAAATGCCAAGCTGCTCCTCCACTGATACGCCATTGCGGGATAGGACAAATCTATTGTGGTGAAGAACCTGCAGCAGTGCATTGAAAACATTGCCATCAATACCAAAGTTGTGCCGGATCCTGTCAGGATGTCCATAAATGAGCTCGTACACCCATGCTTCACCAGTGAGGATGGATGTATGATATGGGATGCGGACAGTTGAGGATAAGAACAGAAGCTGGTAGGTATTCATAATTTGCACTACCATAGCTATGAGAATCACAGTCCAGCGACGTCGACGTTGGTCGAATTGTTGTTGCGCTTCAAGGTCAATATCATAGTCCATGTATGCGAAGCGTTATCATTGTTAATACGAAGTCTAACCGAGGTGTGTGATCCGGGATCTTCCAGACCATGTGACATGACTCAGTTGAAATTTGAAATTTTGTTATTCGTTGTCCAGATGGGCTCTAAGTAATGTGTACACTACAATATCTCTAGCACTGTCCTGATATCTACTGGTTGCATATCATGCTCCTTAATAGACATTGCACAATCCCTAAAGGCTTGTTTAACGGCAGACACAAGTTGATATTGGGCAGACCAGGTATTCTAAAGACTTATTCCAAGGTTCACAGTGTCACTCATACTATTCACTGTATGGAATCGTTCGACTTTTCTATGCGCGCCGTTTTCAGCAGTTTGTATTGTCTTTATTTCCACTACTTTAGGAAACACGCTCGATTCTACGTTTTGCTTTCGAAGTGTGCTAAATGAGTGATGCGACTCCATGATACAAGTCTAGGCGCAGCAACTATCACCAGACGCTCTGAGACTCGCATACCCCCTTCAACCTGTGCGGGCCACTTTTGCTGAAAACTGATCAATGTCATTGTCTATTCTTTAGCACAGATTCTTCCGCTAATCCTAATGATCTCCATTTTCAGCGCTTAGTGCAATCGTACCAGCGTCTATCGTGCCGAACTGGAAATACACGTGTAGCAGAGCCTGAACCCTCAGCCTCTTCTCCTCGGATCCCTGAGCCGAATTTCATATATCCACAGTCCCTACCCCGTCGTTTCCTCTCACTCATTCCGCTCACCATTCAGTCCATCCTCGATCCTCGTTATTTTACTTCATCACACCATCATGCCTGGTAGCTTGGAAAGCCGATATGTCAGACTTGAAGGCGGGTCGCTCCATATCACCTTTGTATCCGTTTCGTGATCCTCACACTCTTTTTATAGTCATCAGCGGAAAAAATCTTCAAGTCCCCTCCGAGCGCATTCCCGCAGGGATCTACATATCCGTCAATGTCGATTCCCAGAGACGCTGGAAATCGGCCATCAGTGTCTTATCATCCGACAGATCTGTAGTGTGGAGCGACACTGTGACTCTGTAAAGTCCACGGAGACTTTCTGACGCGATCCGAGAACTGATCTTCAGTTTCTAGATCATCCCATGCCTCACCTGCGTTATCAGTGGAAATATGGGCATCTTATGAGGCCGGTCGAATGCTAGGCAGCGGAGAGGTCATTGGGAAACTTCAAACGTCGTGGGATGACCTACTCGATCACGGAGATGAACCTTTCGGTGAGAGTGAATTTCTCCTCGTTCATGCACATATACCAACATCTCGTAGTTTTGTCCTTCCCACCCATTCGTGGTGTCCACTCTTCCCTCACGCTGAAGGCCGCCATTGTACATACTTGCGACGATCAGGAGGGCGTGCTGTCTGATGTAAGTAACGCTGGTCTCTATTGTTAGCTTTTGCTGACGGAACACCAATCGCAGTCCCTCGTAGACTGCGAAATCGCTCGAGACACAGATGCGGGCCATGCACAATTTGCTGCATACGTGACGAGCAAAGCGGTCTCTCACCTGAACGATGCAGTGCAGCATTTTCAGTTGGTTCTAGACCAGTGTCCAGTCAGCCATCCTGACCACGCAACTGCCCTCACCAACCTTGCGTACGCGCGCCTTCAGGCATATATTCGCGACGATCTTGAAGACATTGAGACCACCACTTCCCTGTTCCGCGAAGCCCTTGCATTGCGTCCGCAGCGCCATCCCGATCATCCATTATCTCTATATAGTCTCACCGAAGCGCTGAACTGGTGCCACAACGAGAGAAGTACTGTTGCCGACATCCGCGAAGCCGCCAAACTTTGTCATGAGCTATTGCCTCTCTGTCCAGAGGGCACCTACCTTCGTAGCATCGCGACAGGGGAAAATGGGGTCGATTATGTGATCTGTGGATGCAACAATCTTCCGATAGACACATCCGATGAAGGCATCCACCTTCGACAAGTCATCCTCGAGCTTTGTCCTCTGGGCCATCAACGCCGTCCAAGAGCACTCTACGCGCTTTTACAATCACTCCACTCGCGCTTTACACAATGTGGCAGCATCGATGATCTAGATGAGAGCATAAGACTCGGTCGTGAAGCCGTTTCTCTGCTTTCTGAGGGACATCCTGACCGTGATAGCTGCTTGAATGACTTGGCCCTCTCACTCGTAGATCGCTTCAATCACCAATGCAAACCTGATGACCTCGATGAGGCCATCCCTTTGTACCAAGAAGCGCTGCGCCTGTGCTCTGTTGGGCGTGATACCTTATTAGACAACCTAGGGGGCGCCCTCATCGCCCGTTTCAACAAACGCAGCGACATTGATGACATCACCCGAACTATCAGCCTCTTTCGTGAGGCACTGACATTGCGCCCACCTGGGCATCCATGTCGTGACACCACGCTCAACAACCTTGCCCTCGCGCTCGACACCAGATACAACGAATTATATGTCATCGAGGATCTTAATGAGGCCATTGATCTGTACCGCGAATGCCTTCGGTCACTGCGACATGACCATTCAGAGCGCCATGCATATCTTCAAAATCTGGGCTTCGCGCTGTGCTTGCGTTTTATGCAAACTCAGGAGAATGACGATGTCGAAGAGGCCATTCAGCTCTGCCAAGAATCTTTGGCCGCTCTGTCTTTACTGCACCCGAGCAGGTATTCTGGCTATGTGTGCCTGCGGGAGGCTTATTTGTCTCGTTACCGGATTCTACACGACTCTGCTGATTTATCGCTCGCAGTGGAGAACTTCAGGCTCGCATCGGGGCACCCTACTAAGGGCTTTCCAGGTCGCATTGTGACAGCATGCAACTGGGTCATCGTAGCAGAGCAACACGGTCATATATCTGTACTGGAGGCCTACAACACATGTTTCGACCTTCTTGACAGTCATTTGGCAACGCGATCATCAACAATTTCACGGCGTGAAGCTGCAGCTGCCTTCAGTAGTGCCAGATCGCTGCCTGTAGATGCAGCATCATGTGCAATCCGCCACGACAATCTACGACACGCAGTGGAACTCGTGGAGCAGGGCCGTGGCCAGCAATGGTCGCTGGCCTCTCGACTCAAGACTCCAGTTGAAGACCTCGAGTCAGCAAATCCAAAATTGGCGCACGATTATTTGGACCTGAGCAAGCGCGTTTCCGATGCCGCCCAGAGTTCTGCAACCATCACCGACAGAGCTGCTGCTGATCGGGCAGCAACCGAGTATAGGGGACTTACAAGGCAATGGGAAGCTGCAGTAACTGAGATACGCAAACTCCAAGGTTTCCAGCGGTTCCTTCTCCCGCCGTCATATGCAGACTTGCAAGCGGCAGCACGCCAAGGCCCCGTTATCGTCCTTATTGCCAGCGAATACTCGTGCAGCGCCATCATTATCCCAACGTCAGGAGAACCCCATCATGTTCCCTTCCTGTCTGTCTGTCTGACAGATCTAAACAATCTCAAGGATCGCTTCGCCAGGGCGATACGACACGCATCTACCATGGGCCCAAAGGTGCCTCGAAATGATCTGATAGTCCTCTTGCGGGCAGTTTGGGACGAGATCATGCTACCCATCATCAACGTCCTCGAGCATGTCCTTAAGCTACAGCACGGCTCTCGAATTTGGCTGTGTCCAACCGCAGCTTTCACGTCCATTCCTCTCCATGCAGCTCACCCCTTTCAAACAAGGGCAGATCGCTCTAAAGAGCCATGCCTAGAAGATCTCTACATCTGCTCTTACACCCCGACACTTTCGGCTCTGGTCAGATCTAGACAGATGATGAAGAAGCGTGTCACTCCGTCCTTCGTGACAATCGGACAGGGTCAACCGGGTACAGGGAAAGGCAAGGCGCTCTTGGCTGTCGACAGCGAGCTCGAACTTGTCCATAAGCTCGTCCCTGCAACGGTCAACCGTAACACTATTTCTGGTGACGCAGCCACACGAGCAGGTGCACTCAAAGCTTTGGAAAAGGACACCTGGGTGCACCTCGCTTGTCATGGCAAGCAGGACCCTACACAGCCTTACAATTCCCACTTCGTCATGAGAGATGAACACCTGACGCTGCTTGATATCATGGAGAAACATATTCCGCATGCTGAGTTCGCATTCTTGTCCGCTTGTCATACCGCCGTTGGCGACAAGGAGACGCCCGACGAGGTTATTCACCTCGCAGCTGGTCTCCAGTTTTCGGGATTCAAGAGCGTCATTGGCACGCTGTGGGAGGTCGACGATGCTGTCGCAAAACACGTTGTTAAAGCGTTCTACGAGAATTTGTTCGCCGATTTGGAGGATGGTGGTGTCATGGACTGCACAAAGGCGGCCTGGGCACTCAACCGTGCTACGCACTCCGTGAAGACGAAAGTGCCGCTCGAGCAGAGGATGGTTTTCATTCATATTGGTGTGTAGTTCTATGTCGTATTGCTGTCGTCTAGTACATATTCACAAGTTTTTGATCTGCGATCCTCTTTCATCCTGTTGTTTGTAGAAATGACCCTCGTCTTCTTACGCTCCAGCTGTCTCGTTTTTGTACTATACTATCGTGGTTTTGTCGACTAGAATGTTCACCAAAGATTTTGCGTACTCGACTCGTCTGTGCTTAGATAGTACGCCAGGCGGCCCAGGCCAGTCCGACCGACTTGCGCCTTCCAGTCATACCATTCTTCAAGCTTCAAGTATTCAAGTCCTTCTGCACCGTGGAACTTCGACTAACCGTCGCTGATGTAATAATTTACGTTAAGTTCAGTGCTAGGCACCAACAGAAGCCATGGACGAGCCACAACTAACCCCAACAATCAAATCCCTGTGTCTCTCGCATCTGTCGATGTATCGCACATCATGCCTCCCATTGTCAAACGACGAAAGCTTTCAGACCTAACTGTAGGAGATACAACCGAATTGCTTTATAAGCTCGAGGAATTTCGTTCCAACCTTGATGAAGGAGACGAGGATTTGCCTGCTAGTTTGATCGATACACTCCAAGAACTGCATGACAAATTGGAAGACGTTAAGGTGATGAAGGCTGAATGATGCTGAATTGTCCACAGCACTTATCAGCCTCTCCTTAGCACACTTCCTTCTCTAAGGTGGATCCAATGACGCTCCTTTCATTGAAGATATCGTCTGGTCCACTTTTCCTGATCAGCGACAAGAGGCGAGAAGTCGAAAACCTTGGATTGGCCGAAACACCAGGGTGTCTTCCGATTGACACTACGCGATTTCTGATAAGTTTAGTGCGCGGCCACGTCGCAACGGTGGTATGTTACGGTGGCTGATTTCCGTGATCGATTGTATATTCATTTAAACTCCAAAGACGGAAGCTGGATGTCGCATCTTGATCAACATGCTCTTGTTGAGAGTTGTATCAGTCATGTGTCCGGGTGACACGACGGTGAATATAATTCCAGAATTTCCTCTCCCTAGAACGACCTTCAACCGAGACTCTGGCAAATGTTCGTTTATTGGCGTCGTCGACTTCCTGGTGACTAAACTCCCCGCTCGGTATACCGGCTAGTTATTTTCCGTCGCGTGCTAGAGTGGCTTTGAACCGTTCTTTAGAATACCTCCTGGGTGATCCGACTACTGCACTGGCGAATCCTGGATACATCGAGGGACCAATGACGTCCAACATATTCGAAGCCAAGCGCGATAATGTTCGGGCCACTCTGCCTCGGGCTGCAATTGCTGCGGCTTCGTATTGCCAATTGCAGGGGTCAGCTCTCTATCGTTCTATGTTCCGTGAGGTAGTCTAACTTGACGATAGCTTATCTGCCGTCAGGGGTGTTGTCACCAGCGGAGAACAGTGGGTATTCTTCGTGTACGAAGGGCACACAGATAGTACTGGGCTAGTCCGATCTTCTCCCGAATACACTCTGGGACGGAATCTCGAAGGTCTAGCCTTGGTTCTTGGCCTCTTGCGGGATTCGGTGCGATTGAATTCTCGCATCTCATTTTTGCATCCTCAACCGTTTCGAATAGATTGATAACGCAAATAACTCCGACTATACATTCTTCACTACTACGTGACGAATACGTACAGCACGTTCTGGTCTCAGGATAGCGTCCTATTAGGGCTGCTATTCTTCTTCTCCGATAATTTTTCTCGATGTCGCTTGCATGACTTGGTAGATGCTGCGGACGACCGGCCGAGGATGTACGCGGGGAGGAGGAGGAACATGGGCAGGTGGCTCCTGATGTATGCGGGGTCCAAGCGACTTTCATTTAAGAGTCACAATCAACGATCCAGTGTTTTAAGCGGTTGCAATTCCTCGTATTCAAAGAGTTCAGATTGTTTGGGGGTTACTACTGGACAAAAATAAATTGCAACTTGAGTTGTCCTAATTGTGCCTAAGATATGACGGCTCATGATGAATCATGGTGAATAATGATGTATGATGACCTAGGCATGGCACCTGTGACTCCCAATTAACGACGGTCTTTATAGGGTGATAACCCATGAGTACCGCATCAGACATCTATAAGGCGAGGGCATTACAGAGTGCTAGGACCTCCTTCGATATTATTTGAATAAAGAGGGACAGGTGCATTGTATAATTGTGGGTGCATACACGTAACACAAGGCCAGGTATCCTTCATCCACAATGTGTACACTACAATATCTCTAGTGTCCTGACATCTATAATATCGCGAATAGATGCAATGTCTTTGACCTGTGCAACGATAACATGATCTGACCCAATTCTCTTGTATTCTCCGCCGCGTTGCAGTGCTAGCAAAAATGCGCTAAACGGCTGTCCAAGGCGAACAATCAATCGCAATGCTTGTGACTGAGACTCCGAATCAACCGTCCATTTTTCTCCGGAAGACACATCGTCTAACAAAGACCCAGGTAAGGTCCAATATTCTTCCATGCTTTCCGAGGCTTCGGGAGAAGGAGGAGGCTCTGCGTGACCGGGCAGCTCCAGGAGATCACGATTCCATGGACGAACAAGATAGAATGCTTGCGGAGCGGGTTTCCCCGGCCAAACCTGGATCAGCCTGTCTTCCGTGGTGATCAATAAATCATGAAGCCCTCTGGCCTTGACTTGATACGTGAAATTGGCCCCCTGGTTTTGACCAGGCTTTCCGCTGACTTCGGTGACGAGGAATGCGATGCAAGGCAGATGCAGCCGGTGGTGCGCGAAACGAGCAGCCCTCAGGGAGTCAAGCTCACGGTACAATCCTGAAGCCATCTCTACAACCGCAGCATCTTGCAGCGATGAAACCGATGTCTGAGTATCATCTTCGGAAAGAGATGGCAACCATGGCGAGGCTTGATACGAAGTGATGTCCGCCGGCAAACAGCTATTGAATTCGGATGATTTCCCAACCCAGTCAAGCACACTGACGTCGCCTGAACGAGCAACAATCTCCTGCAAGAGCCGTCCGAGCGCGTTTCGTTTGTTCTCGCCATACATTACGGGTAGGTGAACGCCGAAGATGCCAAATAATGAGTACGCAATGTCTTCCTGCAACGTGGTGATACGTGTCGATGCCCATTGGAGTTTCTCTCGCGGGTGTCTCATCCCTGGACGGAAGGTGGCGACGGACCGTAAATCTATGCCTGTAGCATCTCCCAACTCCTCCATGATCGCCGTACACTCCTTGTGGTTGGGTAGAGTGGTAGTCGAGGTATAGGGTCCAGTCCTGACGATAAAAAAGAATGACTTTAGGAGCCAAGAATTCTTGGACCGTCCATCCTCTCTTATTCCAAGTACTCCTGGCCAGCGTGCAAGACTTGGACGAAGGCAGAACGTCAGACAGATAGACGATTGTGAGCGCTGAGTTGTGATACCAAACAAACATGGAGTTGACCGATTTTGGAGCTCGACATTGTTTTTCTGGTCAATGCAGCACGTGTCCATCCATGCCCACAGGAACCCCGCATCACGAGTAACTTCGCAGAATGACTGCAACTTCGTGATGCTGTCGACTGATTCTAACTCATACACGACCTTGTCTTGGATGTCGTGCAGCAGTGGCTCTTTTTCTCCCCACCTATGTGATAGCATGACCCAACGGAAGTACTTGGCCACCACGTCTTGGATGCGCTCCAATTGGAGGTCTGCATTATTGATTACAGATGCCAGAAGCTCCTTGTATTCTGCACTCGTCTTGAAAGCATGTGTCTGGGCCATCTCGATCATATATACGCCCATTGGATGTGTTGATTAGACGAAGTGGGGGCATTGTCGAGGTGAGCATGAAGGACTTGTCGAATAGTGCTTTCTGCTTGAAATGGACTGATACAGTGCTGGTACAGCTCTGGACAAAGAGTCAATTATTTTGACACGTGTATTATTCGGAGCTTACTTTGTATTTGCGGGTCGGGAGCCTCATCCAGTTTTAACAACATCATTTGGAAAGCCTCGATGGCTTCGTCATAACATTGCGCGCCATGAGCGGCCTCGTGCTTCAGCCGGTATCCAAGATAATCCGAAGGGTTGAGGTTCGATGACCTGTGCATATCTGAAATGAGCACGGCCTATTGTGAAACAAATGCCATCGCACCTTTTCCGCATCAAGAAGTGCATCCTCCCCATAGCATTTTCAACAACCTCGCCTTACTTCGGCTTGCAAAGATGGTATCGGTTGCAGAGTCCAGCTCGATCGCCGCTGAGTACAGTTCAATAGCCCAGTCGTAGTCCTTCTCAGCCAAGGCAGCGTCTCCGCTCGCAGCAAGCTCGACAAACTCCATTGGCAGCATAAAGCGCGCTGCATTTTCGCGTGAAAGCTAGTTATATGCGCGTGAGGATTGTAGCCCGGACGACAATAATGAAGACTTGCCAGTAGACCATTCAAGGGCAGCTCGCTTTCATAGTTTCGTCGCTCAAATTCATCATGTATCGGTGAGATTCGACTGCTTCTCCAAGCCTACCTGCACGAAGGAGTGCATCGCACTTTTTCTGGTTTGCATTTTTCCACAAGGACTCGAGGTCCCACCCGAAGATCTAGACAAAGCACACTGTTAGGCATGAACAGAAACTCGCGGTTGCATCGCGTTCACATACCACCACAAAGACTTGGTATTTAGAATGAATGGCCAACTGCGATGTGACAGCGCTGTCCTTGACAGCTGCAGCGAAGTGTCAGCAGCTTCGCTGTGACGTCCGCCGTCTAAGGCAGTGGTGCCCAGCTGGAAGCATAGATATGCCTGGTGTGCAGAGTTAAGAAAAATTGGTGTCACGCACGAACCTGGGTTCGGCGGAAGTCACAGAACACATAAAACTCACTTCCACGACACGACACGCAAGAGTGTCGACGTCAGGACAAACAGCAGCCAACTCTTGCACCCGCAGCATTGCATCCTCATGCTGATTTGCATTGAACAGCGCAACGGCCTGAGGACTGTGTTGAAGCAAGGAATACGCGAGAAGAAATTGGCATCCTTGCCTTAATCAAGAGAAGAA